CCTTATGGTTCCAAGCGCTGTCACCAATCTTTGCATTTTGTTATTATCTCATGACACTTGTTTAATCAGCTACCATCTCTCCTGTGGACTTTTTAATGTCTACAGTCTCAGATCAACACAGCCCCGCCCTTCCCATATTAGATTCTTGATGAATGTGTGTTGTTGTTATTCAGCCTGGTTCAATGTGCCACTTTTTAACTTTGAGCACCCGCCCCTTTAAACCTCTCTGCACGTCCCTGCCTTTAACGCTTACACAAGATGCTTTATGTGAGCTCCCTTTTTGATATAAAAACCAGCACAACTATTTTCAAACAATAAAAGTGAAAAGACAGCACTTTGTAACCAGCTTTTACGTCCCCTCAAGTCATCGTAAAAGACAGAAGCTACGGAAGTTTCTGGATTGTTTTTGTGGATGCAGTGGCACCCTGTGTTCACTGAACATAGGTAATGTGAGGATTTCCACTTTAAGGTTGTCTGTTTTTTATCCCACAGAGTGACACATTTTTATTTATTTTTTGTTCATTGTATACTTTTTTTGTTGTCTTTTTCACCCTTGTATACGGCGACTTCAACCTCAAATTCTTTTCTACACATTTTTTCCAACAGATGAGGAAATCAACAGTTGATACAGGCATCTCACCCTGTCCCTAGCATCCTCCGGTCACATGTATGTCCTCCTACACTACATCCATGAATCTTTGTGGTCTTTCTGCCCCCCGACCGCTCCATATTCAACAGCCCTGTTGAACAGCCCACCTCTGACACTCATCTCCACCCACTTCACCCTGCCTGCACTGTATTCCCCACCTGTGTTGTAAACTGTCCGTTGCGTCAGAACGTTGACCCAAGGTATTTAAATTCATCTACCTTCACTACACCTACTGCTTGCAGATTGTTACACCCATGAGGTGAATCTTTCCAATTCTTTACTCCTTAAAACATCTTTCAGAAAATCAGACACACAGCATACAATGAGAAGCGTATCCAGTTAAGCCTCATTCAGTTGTTGGAAACAACACAGCTCACTCTCAACAACTACATCATTATCGTCTCTGTATTACTGCCTTCGGTATACTGGTATTGTACAGCAGGCCTTAATTTGAAACTTCATAAAAAGCCCCTTTGTAAAAAAGTAAGAAGTAAAGAGCACATAAGTGTTTCAGCATTTCTTTTATAGAAACATGACTCTCTGAACAGTGCAATCCACTACACTCTTTCAAAAGGCAAAACATGGAAACGAACAGATTTTGATGAATTCCCAGCAGCACCCTAATTACTCATGAATACATGGATTTCATATAATTCACACAAAAGCACAGACACAGGGTTAGGCCGGCCACAGTAAGTGACTAACATCTACATCAATGTTTGACTCAGACATACAGTACAGGTATGAGGAGTAATGTGAGACATTTATTTGGGAATAGGTTTGTGCTACTATTTTACTTAGATACATTCAAAACTACTAACATAAAAAAAGACCTATGTGTCAATGACCAATTTCTGTCGTGAGCAGCTGGGTATCACAGCTGGTTAATATCGATTTATTCATTTTTATTTTTTATTTTTACACAGTGTGCAGTATCACAAAAGGTAAACTGATTGAAATGAAAGTGGCAAAACCGTATATATATATATATATATATATATATATATAAATGTTTTTGAACGTGGGTGTATGGGTTGAGGGGCGGATTGAAGATCAGTAGCTCAGGTAGAAAGCGCCACACCTCAGATCAGGTGCACACAGACTACTCTTTGTTTATCTCTCTAAATAAACAACAGTAGGGTGTTGTGGGTTGTCACGAGTCCCAGTGCTCATCCTCTGCGGTGTCTGTTGCTTGCAGATTTGGGAAGTCGGTGTGTTCTGGCTGACATCTAGCAGTCGCAGGCACGACCTACAGAGACACACACAAAGGAAAGCATGGTTGACTTTCTTCCTGAAAATATGATCGCCAACATGAGGCACAAACGGGGTCCTTTAGTAGGGTCTGCATGACTTTGCTTTAATCTGCAATATAACTCAAACTGCATTTAAAAAAAAAAAAATTAAACCTCTGTAGCCTTTAGAGAACACTGTGACAAAACATTGCAGATTTAACTGGGATCTTGAGACAGCAGTAAACATATTTAGAGAAGTAACTACTGAAAAGTGTGACTTTTTTTT